TGAGAGTTCTTTATTCTAGATACAAGTCCTTTGTCAGATATGTGGTTTACAAATATTTTCTCCCGGTCTGCATCTTGTCTTTTCATTCTCTTAACAGGATCTTTCACTAATGCAAAGTCTTTAATTTTGATGAAGTCCAATTTATTCATTTGCTTCTGCTGAACTCTTACCAAGCCCTAGGTACCAAAGATTTTTTCCTATGTTTTCTTCTGAAGTGTCATGGTTTTATGTTTTATAGATAAATCTATGATCCATTTTGAGTTTTTGCATAAGGTATGAGGTTTATGTCAAAGTTTCTTTTTCCCTACGGATAGCCAGTTGCTCCAGCACCATTTGTTAAAAAGACTATTCTTCCTTCCATTGAATGGCTTTTGAATCTCGCCAAAAACCAGTTGGATATATTTGTGTGGGTCTATTTCTGGGTACTCAAATCTATTTCACTGATCTATCTGTCCATCTTTCTACCAATACCACACTGTCTTAATTACTGTGGTACATAAGAAGTATTAAATTTGGGTAGAGTGATCCCTCCCACTTAGTTCTTCCTTTTCAAAATTGTTGCAGCTATTCTGGTTTCTTTGTTTTCCATATAAATTTTAGAATAATTTTGTCTGTATCTAACATCAACTAAAAATCATGAGCTCTATAAATTTAGAAAGGGAGAGTTTTGTTTCTTTTATAAAGGGTTACAGCCTGCAAGGTGGCCATTCTAACAGGCTGAGAAACAGGCCTATGGCAGAGATCGAAAGGCAAGCACTTCAAGAGGGGAAGGGTGAAACAGCAATTTATACTGAATGCCTTGGCCAAGTGTACATATTCAACAGGTTACAGGAAGAGCTATGAATATTCATGAGGGGGGTCCTACCACATGCATACTGAATAAACATTCCATGTTCACTTTGGGGTGAAGACTTTACATTTTGATGTATTACAATTAGGCCCTACACATCATAACGTGAAGCAGGGAAATGAAGTCACTCAAATATGCAGCTTCTATAAACCAGCCAGCACCACTCCATGGTCAGTGGTCTCTTATCAGGAGAAAGTTATTGAATTTTCAATGCTATAGTTATGGCTTGTGAAACAAGGGGATTAGTTAATCAGCATCTGACCATAAATGAGCTGCAACTGTTTTCATATTGCATATCTTGAGGCCAGTGCTTCTTTAGCTGCTAGAGAAAAAAAAAACCTTGTGGCAGCTAGAATATAGTTTCTTTTTTACCTATAGAGGTGCATGACTTAAGCCTTGCCTGACATGACCTTAGATCTCATTTATAATTTGGTATCTTATTGACACAGTATGTTCTGTCAGTCCTATGATCTCTATTTTAACATTAATACTGGTCAGTTGTGTCTAAACACAAAAGAGAGGAAGTACAATGAAGCATGTCTGACCTCCTATCCCATCATGGCCAAGAACTCAGTTTTTAAGGTTTCTCTGGGGTCCCCTTGGCAAAGAGGGGGTCAGTTCAGTCAGCTGGAGGTTTAATTCTCACAAAAAATAAAAGTAAAAAAAGAAACTTTGCTGGGATTTTAGTAGAAATTGTGTTAAGTCTGTGTATCAATTTAGGGATAATTAACATCTGTACTATAGTGAGTCTTCCAATCCATGAACATGGTCATTTACTTAGATCTTCTTTGATTTCTTTCATCAGTGTTTTGTTACTTTCAGCATGAGTCCTGTACATGTTCTATTAGATTTATACCTAAGTAGTTTTGATTTTGAGCAATTACCAATTTTAATTTTGGTTTCCATGTATTCGTTGCTAGTATATAAAAATACAATTGATTTTTGTCTATTATGTTATATCCTGAGACCTTGCTGAATTCACTTATTAGTTCTGGATATTATTTTGTAGATTCCTTGGGATTTTTTTAAACGTTTTTCATTTCATTTAAAAAAAGATTCACTCATTCAAAAATTGTTATTAATAGTTTATGCCAAATAGTGTTCTAATTGCTAGATATGGAGGTGATTAAGAAAATTAAGTTTTTTGACCTCATGAAGCTTAGACTCCAGAGGACAGAAAAAGGCTGTAAGCAATTAATTAAATAACAAATAAGCTGATGTCATATAGTGGTTAAGTACTATAAAGAAATAAACAGAGCAACATAATAGAGTGGTAGATAGTTCGGAACTGACCTCCAGAGGAGATAAGTACTGAGCGGATATTTAAATTTCAGGAGTCAGAAAAGAAAGTTTCAGTAAGTACAAAAGTCCTAAAATATGAAAGATTCAGACCTGAGAAGGAACCATAAGAAGGCCTGTGTGGCTCACATGCTAAGGAGGAGAGTGGTAGGAAAAGACACAAGAGCAACTTTATGTAGGGCCTTAAAGTCAGTGGTAGACATTTGCATTTTATTCTAAATAAAATGAGAAGTGCTGGAGGATTTAAAATAGGATAGTGAGATTAGCATGGTATTCACTACAAGTCATTCAAAAAAAATCCACCATATCAAAGCTGTTGGTGTATTTCTTGGCAGTTTTTTTCTTTACAATTTAAAAAAATGCATATGTACATAAACTGCATATCTGAAAGGCAAGGATTATTTGCAATTACTTCATATGATGGTTTATTGATCACAGCTCTCTCTATACAGGTGTTTGCTTTTGACTGTATAAGGTGATATAAATTTCCTAGCGGGAAGTTAACCTCATAATAAAGCTATTGCAGTTGGCCAACTCTAGCCACTGCTGTTGGAACTGCCTTTTCTCTTTGCTTATCACAAACACACAAACACATTTTTCATCTTAATGGCATGGTGGAAACAATAGAGCATCTAGAATCAGACTTGGATATTTATTTAACCTCTCATGAAATCAGTCTTATAAAATGCAGCTATCTATAAAATGCAGCTATTAACATCTACTTTCAAAAGTCTGTTTTGAGAACTTAAAGTATCAGACACTTAGAGGGTGTGCAAAAAATGATAATTTCCTATCTTTTGCTTTTTCTTAGCTCCCATTCTTAGCTCTCATTCTCAGATCTAATATATTTATAAAACCATTTAATTAGCAACGGGGCCTTAGGCTAAATATACAAAGATCTTAAACCCCACAGCAATAGCACTCACTAATGCAATGATTAATGGCATGGCTCAGTGCAACAGAACCCTTTCACAGATCTCTGAAACTTTTAGTTTACTATAAAATAAATTATATAAAGTTGGCCACTTTCAATTGAAATCTCATAACCATAGAAGAGCATATTATATGCTTTTTTTACCAAAGGCAATATGCTTTGAATATTTTGGCATAAAAACCTCCTATTTTATTTCATGCATCTATTATTCAAAAAGTACTTTAAAAATACAGAATAATGGCACTTGTGGAAGCCTGATAGTATGAAATTATGTTATCTGTATTGTAAAGACTGAAAACAGAACATTATGTTCTGTCAGACATCTTATTTTACAATATTCAATTTCTCAAGACTTAATATTAGCAGAAAGGGGAAAATAGTATGCATAATTCAAAGTAAACTATCAACTTTTTAACTAACCAATTTTTTTTCTGTCTGATTTGGAGGAATCCACTGCTACTATTCAACAATCTCCATTCTTCCTTGGTTCCCTCGCACAAAGGCTAATTCCAAATTTTCTCCACTCTACCTAAAATCCACAATCCTACCATTCCTTCCTAATACTTTACCTTCTCCATTATTTTTGTCTTCCAATGCCGCACTATTCCAAGTCAAACTTCTCTGTAGCTTTACCTTCTACCTATTTGAAAAAGGAAAGTTCCAAAGTCATTCCTGTCCTCAAACGTGACTATCTTTTAGATCCATCAATTACCTTACTTCTCTTTTACCTTCATTCCCTTTCTACAAATCAACTCAGTCTCAACTTCTCCTTTACCTAGCTCCTATCTCCTCTGAATTGTTATTCTTCTTAAGATTACCCTAATCAATGTGTTATATATATTGGTATAATGCTGTAACTTGGTAAAAAAAAAAAAAAAAACTCACTATTTAGTAAACTGAAACAACTTAAAATTTTGTTTATTTTTCTATTGGACATTTTAAATTAACTATTTCTTTAAAGTTGTATCTGTACTACAGGACATTAACATCTGATTTCACAACTACATTAACCAAGCCCAAATAGGGCCATAATTAGGCAATATTTTCCAATGTAAAGACCTCCTGATTAAAGTTTAAATTCTTGTTGTGAATCTAGAATTTAACTCTCTAATGAAAGAGTACAAGTATAATGACTGCATCTGTTCTTCCTTGTTATAAACCATTTTCAATGTTAGCATACGTATACATTAAATTTTGATAATTTCACCTGGGTATTTTCAAAGTACTCTTTTATACAATGCAGGCATAAAAATACTTTCATTCTTTCTCACCTGACATTTTCCTTACTCCCCTCCCATTTTTTTTGGACAGCTTATAAACTTTCGATATGATACAAAAAAGCTTACTAACTGGTTCTTTGCTAGAGGCCTGCTGACACTGATCATCTCTAAAAGTCTGACCGCCGCCAGTGCAGTTCTTACTTTAATAACCACATCGTAGGACACTAGCGCATTTCTTGAAGAACAAGCCAGGACACTGAATGACTTCACAATCCAAATTTTCAGTTTTCCTTTCTTTCTCCCCAGTGCTCTTTTCCTTGGACTTTACAAAAACAGCACTTTCTTGAGTTTTCACGAGTAACCTGACCTAGACAAAAACGACGGAGATCAGCCGGCGGGACTCCTAGAGTCCCAACCACCTACACGGCGTCCACGAGGGCCGCTCTGCCAGGAACACCGCCTGTGACTCGATACACGCTCTCCAGTGACGCGAGCGTCGCCGCGTAACTCGACTGGAGGCGGCCGCGCCTGGCCGCGAATGGGCAGGGCGGGTGGGGGTCGGGGTCCGAGCACAGTGGGGACGGAGTCTACAAGCTGGGGTGCAAGAGGAGGAGCAGGGAGGAAGGAAGGGAGGCGGGAGGGGCGGGCCTTTCAGGAGGTTCCTAAGTTCTTCACTTCCTGTTTGCCGGCTCTTCTGAATCCGGGTCAAGGGTGTTCGCTTCGGTCTCTTCTTCCCGGCTGATCCCGGCACCCTTCGTGACAGCGCCTCCTGACTCAGCCCAGGGCCGGTTCCTTCTCACGACTTGCTGGAGCCTGGACGCCCGCACCTGCCCCGGTGCACGGAGGGCGCTTCCTCCACCTACTGGCTCGCAGCCCCGGGCCCTGAGGGCCCGCAGACGCTGCCAGAGGGGATCCCGCTGGCCCCTCGGCGCTGATGCTGAGAGGGATCGAGGGCCCGGGGCGGCGGCGGAGTACAGGCCTCAGGCGCCTTAGGCCAGCCGTGGGTGGTGTCGGTTCTTACGCTCCCCAGGCTCGCCAGCTCCCGCGTCGGCTTGGATGGGCCCCCCTACCCGATAAATGTGGCTGCTGAGGCGGCAGTGGCGGTGGCCGGTCACGCTGCTGCTGCGCTCCAAGTTCATCTCCGCCCCGGGGCTCTCCTGCTCCAGCTGGGGGCTGCCGCCGTCCGCTCCTTATCCCCTACCCCTAGCCTTGCAGCGTGGCGACAATGGACAAGATCCTGGAGGGCCTGGTGAGTTCTTCGCATCCGCTGCCGCTAAAGCGGGTGATTGTGCGGAAGGTGGTGGAATCGGCGGAGCATTGGCTAGACGAGGCGCAGTGCGAGGCCATGTTTGACCTGACGACCCGGCTCATTCTGGAGGGCCAGGACCCTTTCCAGCGGCAGGTGGGGCACCAGGTGCTGGAGGCCTACGCACGGTACCACCGGCCAGAGTTCGAGGCCTTCTTCAGCAAGACCTTCGTGTTGGGCCTCCTTCAGCAGGGCTACCACTCGCTGGACAGAAAGGACGTAGCCATCCTGGACTACATTCACAATGGCCTGAAGCTGATTATGAGCTGTCCGTCGGTGCTGGACCTCTTCAGCCTGCTGCAGGTAGAGGTGCTACGGATTGTATGTGAGAGGCCGGAGCCTCAGCTCTGCGCCCGACTGAGCGACCTTCTGACCGACTTCGTGCAATGCATCCCCAAAGGGAAATTGTCCATCACCTTCTGTCAACAGCTGGTTCGAACCATAGGCCACTTCCAGTGCGTGTCCACCCAGGAGAGAGAGCTGCGGGAATATGTCTCTCAAGTGACAAAAGTGAGTAACTTGCTGCAGAACATCTGGAAGGCTGAGCCTGCCACACTGCTGCCTTCCCTGCAAGAAGTTTTTGCAAGCATCTCTTCCACAGGTAAGGATCATTATATTTAAGGAGACTATCTCATGGAAATTGAATATGTGTGTGTGTGTCTCTGTCTCTTTCTGTCTCTCCCTCTCTCACACACACGCACACCATGTTTGCTTTCTGCTCTGTAAGCATTCTTAAGTGAGAGCAAATCCTAATACCCTCATCCAAAATTTATTCACATCCACAGCCTTGTTCAAGATGTCACTTTGTACCATAAAAACGGGCAGCTTTCCTATTTTAAAGGTTGAGAACGTCTAGGTCTAAGACCTTTAGTCCCAAACAAGTTGCTTAATTACCTAGCCTTTGCTCCAGTTCTTTGGAATGCTTTGAGGATGACGGCTACTATATAAAGCTTCTATTCAGCAGTGACTAATGGTATTATAATGTTTACCATGTTGTTGTTGTACATGTCCCTATCATTTTGTTGTAATGAGTTTTACCTCCATTTTTGAATTCTTGGATTGTGTAGTTAATTACTGAATTATCCCAGTTAACTATGTAGTTTTTAAATATTGGCGTTTTCTATCTACAATATTGTGTGTGAGAAGTGGATACAGGTAGAATGAAGGAAGGGAGAGTATGAGGACTTAAATATGTAGATGTTTTTATGCCCATGAACTGCATCCTCAGAAAGCAGGGAAGGGTCAAGTGATAGCTTGGCTAGAAAATGCTTTCTTGCCCAAGAATTTTACCAGTGCCTCTATATTCCTTCTTGTGCCTTGGAGCTTTAAAGTCTGTAGGTTGTGAGATAATAGGCCCAAAACCGAGTTTACTTCCTCTCTACTTGGAACCATTCTCCCTGATTATACCCCCAGTGGGGACTCTGGCTATTTGAAATTGAACTTGTGAGGGAGGTTTCCTCCTTTTATCTTAAGAACCAGAAATAAGAGTAGAGTTGTAACAAATTCCATACATTCTGATGAGTTTAATACATTTATGAAAGAATTGCCAACTATATGTTTACAGTATCCAAGTTGGGTTTTTTTTCCTTACTGTAATTTTACTTGTACTGCCTGTGTTGTCATAGCTGTTAGGTTCTCTCCAGCTTTTTCAGCTGTACCAGTAAAGGTGCTCATCTTGGATTTGATTAATTTTTGATACAGTTTTAAGCAATGTCCCCCCCCCAAATTCACCTTAATTTCTACTTCTTTAAGAGATTTTTAAAATCTTCCTTAGAGCAATATAATGACTACTATAATAGTGCTAAGTTATTTGGAAGATCTGAATTGAAATGATACCTTGTGTTTCTTGTCTAACTACAGCTTTTCAAATGAATATTTTATCACAACAATATAACTTGATATTAGTAAATTGTGAAAAATTAAAGTAACTTATGGGCTAAATATGGCCATAGTAAGTAACAGTTTTTATATTTCAGTATTCTGTCTATAGAATGAGTGATCATTGCTATTCACACTTAATCTTTCATTTCTGAAATTTAACATTTCTTGTACATTAGAAGCCCATGAGGTGTAGCATAACAACTGCTTCCTGATTAATACCTTTGCTGCAATGCCTTTTTTTTTTGTGATAAAGTGTTGTTCTCCTTAAATACTTTACTTGAACCTTCTTGCCATATTCCTTTTTCTTTTTAATTAAAAAAATAGATGCGTCATTTGAACCTTCTGTAGCATTGGCAAGCCTTGTGCAGCATATTCCTCTTCAGATGATTACAGTTCTCATCAGGAGCCTCACTACGGATCCAAATGTAAAAGATGCAAGCATGACCCAAGCCCTTTGCAGGTACTTATTCATGATACTATAGATGGTAATTGTAGATTTGGGAAGGGGAGGTATTTGGTTGTATTTTGTGAGTAATGAAAAATTACAGATGTGTTTAAAACTAAAGTCATGGAATATATGTTCTCCAAATTAATTGGAATGAATTATTTACCTTATAGCCTCTGCAGGCATACCAGTAATTCACAAAGCCATTTACCTTTTTTTAATTTCCAAAATATGCACATGTATACACTTATTGTACAGTCAGAAGTTGGTTTGATTATCAGTGTACAGTATTTTACTAATTTCTTTGCTCATTATTGTTTCCTGCAACCTATTTTTCCTCTCTGAGTTTTTTTTTTTTCCTTAGTAAGTACACACTTTACTTTCTCTTTCGGCCAGGCACAATGAGTAATATACACTCTTCACCTTTGTCTATTTGAAATATTTTTTTTTTTTGTCTTCTAGTCTTAAATAGATGATTTGGCAAGATACAGAATTGTAATTTGATAGCCATTTTCTCTTAGCATTTTGAAAATAATACTGCATTGTCTTTGAGCATCTATTTTTACTGATGAGAATTTATCTGTCATTCTGATCGTCATTCCTTTTTGAGTAGTCAGGCTTTTCTGGTAACTTTTCTGTTTTTATCCTTAATGTCTTACATTTTTACTCTATATTTCTAGGTATAACTTTTGTACTTTTTTCAGTCATTTATTCAAATCACATTTATTTGAGCCCTTACCGTGAGTGCCAGGCACTGTTCAAAAAATCCTTTAACAGGCCGGGCGGGCGCGGTGGCTCACGCCTATAATCCTAGCACTCTGGGAGGCCGAGGCGGGCGGATTGTTTGAGCTCAGGAGTTCGAAACCAGCCTGAGCAAGAGCGAGACCTCGTCTCTACTAAAAATAGAAAGAAATTAATCGGACAACTAAAAAAATATATAGAAAAAATTAGCCGGGCATGGTGGCGCATGCCTGTAGTCCCAGCTACTCGGAAGGCTGAGGCAGAAGGGGATTGCTTGAGCCCGGGAGTGTGAGGTTGCTGTGAGCTAGGCTGACGCCACGGCACTCACTCTAGCCCGGGCAAAAAGAGTGAGACTCTGTCTCAAAAAAAAAAAAAAATCCTTTAACAAACTGATAAAAATATCTACCTTCATGGGCTTACTTTCTAAATGGGGAGGCAGATAATAAACATATTTCACTGATTCCACTATGCCTTTTGATTTCAAAGATGTTCAAATGTGGAAATGCCCAGTCATCGGTGTCCTAGTTAAATTGACGTGACTTTTCTTGCTTTAATGGTACATAAGCTAATTATGCATCTTAAAATTGATTTTGTTTTAGATTTGATTAAATGAGAGAAGTAAAATAATTTAGGATGTTAGATAGTGAGAAGTGTTTTGGGGAAAAAAGTAAACAAGAAGCAGGGACAGGTTGTGGAGGAGTGGTTTGCAATTTTAAATAAGATATTAGTAGATGAGGAAGGTTTCATTGAGGTGACCATAATAAAGGAAGCGAAGAAGCAAACTTGTGGATATCTGAGGGGGAAGAATATCAGTACTCTCTTGCAGTTCACTAATGTTCTCTTCACAGGTGCTCGTCTGTAGAGTTTATTCCAGCTATTGAGTTTCTTTATTTCAATAACTCTTTTTTTCTAATTGAACTTTTTCTATCTGCTTATTCTTGTTTCATACCTGCCTATTTTTGTTTTTTAATTTTTTTCTACTTTTTCCTGTATGTGTATATGTATGTATTAAGCATATTTAAATGGAATATAAAGATTTGGAACAAAATGGTTTCTGTGCCCTGTTATAAATTTATAGTCATAAGGTAACATATAAACATATGTTCAATTATTTCATGAGTTCTCAAAAACCTACATGTGTACTAATCTCATTCTCTACAACACAAACTCTGGGGACTTTAATTTTCTCTACCTTCTCCCCCTTTTTGTTCCATGGTTTAAGAAGGCCTTTTTCTTCTAACTTTTATTCTTTCTTCCTTGTGCTCTTAAACTTAATTAAATCTATTTATCTGTAATTTTACTTCCAATTTGTTATTGCTCATTCTCTCTTTAACTTTCAGAAGTTTGTGAAATTGCTTTGTATATGAGAAAAGTCTATGTAAATATTGTTCCTGTTGTATGACTACTACCCCCACTGCTTTTAATTTATGGTAACCTCCCCCTTGCCATATTTGATCTATACTTTTTTCTCATCTTCTTGATATCTTCATATTCATTGTTCTTGAAATTCTAGTCCTGTGACACCATGCTGTTAGGAATTTCTTCTTCTATCTGTTCTTTTTATTTTCCTCCTTCCTATATTCTTACCACTTTGTCAATTCCGATCTATATGTGATTGACTTCCGAGTCTTTCTGTAAAGTTCTCATTGTTCATTTACTTTTAAGAAACACTCTTATCTCATCCTTATATGTGTAATGAAACTCATTCTGTGTCCTATTTCGAAGCAACATGCCTTTGTCGGTGTGACTATAACAGCACTAAAATCTCTTTCTCTTTGGGATGAATGTATCGCAAATTATATCGCCTTCTTAGTAAAATAGAAATATTCAGAGAATTATAGACTTCACAGCTAAAAGGGAAATTAGACATTAGTTGGTTTAACATTTTCATTATATAGGTAATAATAGCTAACATTTTTCTTTACATGACATAAGTTATTTAATACTAACTACAACCTTTTAAAGCAGGTACTGTTATTGGCCCCACAGCATAGTGGAAAACTCTGAGAGGCTAAATAATTTACCGAAGCTCACTCAGATAATACATAAATGGGGGGTCTGGTATTCAAACTTACATCTGGTTCCAGAGTTATCATACCATATGGTCACCAATGAGGAAACAAACGCAGAGTAGTCAAGTTTCTCACTTAGTGAGTTTAGAGCCATTCTGTTAGAGGCAGAACTATCTTCTTAGCCTGATGTTGGTTTTTATTTTTGTTTTTTTTACTGTTTTTACCCCAATTGACACTAATTCTCCTAGATGTCTGATCACAAACCTTTAAGCAATTTTCAGCACCATCCTTACTTTAATTCTTTTTGATTAGCATAACTAATAAGTCCTCTGGATTTTTTTTTTTAGGACATTTCTTAGAGTCACACTTTTTCTATCCCTACCACCTTGAGGAAATCAGGACTTCTCTATTGCACAGTCTTCTAGCTGGTCTTTTTCCAGAAGTTATTCATTTTTCTTCTCTAAATCATCCAGATCTACCAATTTTTCCTTTCCAATCAAGATACTACAGTGACTTCCACTACTTACTAAATCAAGTGGAAATTCTACTTGACATTTGGTATTCTTAGTCTTAATTTTTCAAACTCTTCAAAAACAATCACAGTACCCAACTTAGGAGTTTATTTTATTTTCAAAATGTATCCAGAAATTAATTTTTACCTATTTGTTTTTATGGGAAGTAGTGATTCAATTTTTGTATTATATCTCCAGTTTAGTCTACATGATCCTATCTAACCCATAATCTACCTGAAATAATTATTCTTATATAGAAAATCTAACAGAAGGGAATACTGATACTTGTTTATACCATACTTCCCCATCTTATACTCCCCCATGCTCTATACTTCCCCAACATAACATGGATCATGCTTCACAGACATTTTCTATAATCCAAAGAAATGCAAGTGTAAATACCATACTAGGACCAGACAGGTAACATTAAAGTATGAAGTAGGACAGGTGTAAGTGAAATGACAGGGAATGGAGTACACAAGTACCTTCTAAAAGAGAGAGCTGATCTTCAACTCCAGTTGTCTGTTGCCACAAGGAAATTTGAATCCAGTCTTGCTTGATCTGATTTTTCAAAAGAAGCCTGAAATCCAGTTTTCTGTGTGACATTTCTCAATTTTTAAAACATTGGAACAAATAAAAGTGAAGACTGGAAATAGCCCTCAAGCTACCATGTAAAAGTGAAAGTTAGATTTATTCTCCATAAATTACAATTAAATGTAGCTTGTTGCCTTTCATAATATCAGCAGTTTTAATGTTAAGGTTTGAAAATTATATTTATTTTTCAACGGTGAATACACTCTTTGTACCCAACTGCAAGTATGTCTCTGCTTTCCTACTCCATATATGTAGAATGTCCACAAAATTTTGTGAGAATCAGCCTAACGGTAGTTGGAAAATGTGGAATAGCTGTCAAGGACTACTTTAATGACTTATAACCATCATTGTTGGAAAAAGCCAGAAAAACAAGAAAGGAAATAAAATTTATGTAGCTAATGGAGGGAATATATAGATAACTTGCAGTTAACATGCATTTGAACTTTGGGACCACTCTTAATATCTGATGGGACATTTTAATCTTAAAAGCAAAAACCTTAATAAAGATAACACTCCAGTCTTAATGTTGATAGTTATAGAACAGCTATTGTGAAAATAACTATCAATTTAGATGTCAGTCCTTTTGACTTGTTAGTTGCTCTTTTAGTTACATATTTATGTCCTTAGTATTTGTATTTGACATTCGTATAATCAAGGTATTTTTTATTTATTGCCACATATATTAATATGTGGTAGAAGAGAAGCATTCACAATGAATATTTCCACTATTATATATTAATTCATTTAATCTTCACAGCAGCTCTGTAAAGTAAGCATGCTTATCTGTAATCTACAGATGAGGAAACTGAGACACAAGAGATTAGATAATTTACATGAGGCACATTTTGGGTCCCCCAGCTAATAAATGGTGAATTGAGATTTCTAAACCAGTCACTCTGGCTTCAAAAACTCTTTTTTCCCCCTACCTTTTCCCAAGTATATAACCCACAAAATTGGATTACTGGATCAACTTATATAAACATTTGGTCCAGTTGCTTTACAAAAGAGTTATATAGTCTTCATTATGTTTGATGTCTAACTTTAGGGAGTTTCTCCATCAGACCCCATATTACTTTGTCTTTTTTCCATTAAACTGTGTTGGTATTCAAGAAGAAAAGCATTCATTAATGCAAAATCAGGCCATTAGGATATTTGCACACCAGTGCCCTTATATGTATTTGAAGTTTCCTTTTGTTGTCTACGTATAGTAGGATTTTGGAAGGGATGAAGATAACTATTTCACAATTCAAAAGTCTTTTTTAACAGTGTATTTCATATTAGAATGTACTCACCAGGAAAGAGAAATATGGGTTCATATCCATATGTCTTAGTTAAGATATCTACATTTCAACTGCTCTTCTTAGAGTAAATTTGCCTAATTAATTCTTGACATAGGTCGAGCATCCCAAATCTGAAATGCTCCAAAATCTGAAACTTTCTAAGTGCCGGCATGATGCTGGTAAAGGAAATGGTCGTTGGAGCATTTCAGATTTCATATTTTTGGATTTAGGGTGCTCAACCAGTGAGTATATAATGCAAATATTCCAAAATCCAAAAAAATCAATAATCCAAAACACTTCTAGTCCCAAACATTTCAGATAAGGAATAGTCGACCTATACCACTATAGTAACATAAATTTTATTTATTCATAAAGTGAGTGCTTATCTACTGTAACTCATTATTCCTAACTAAATAATGTTAGAAATATTTTTAATACTGACAGTTTTGTTTTTCTTTAATTTTCAGAATGATTGACTGGCTGTCCTGGCCATTGGCTCAGCATGTGGATACATGGGTAATTGCACTTCTGAAAGGACTGGCAGCTGTCCAGAAGTTTACTATTTTGATAGATGTTACTTTGCTGAAAATAGAACTGGTAAGTGGGAGTATATAAATCTATTAGCATGTGTAGCCTCATATAGTCAATATTTTTGTCTTTGGGTTATCTCCTTGAAAGCATCTAATTTTGAATATGTTTTTGTTTTTATTTTGAATAGGCTTTAGAAATTTTTAAAATGCCACTTAAGTATAGGTAATGAAAATAATTGTTTTCAAATATCTGATATGAAAACATATGCTTCCCATTTTCTCTTGAATCCAACTAATCAAGCTGTACCACGATTACTCAACCAAAATTACCTTTGACGCCAGTGCTTTCCAATGTTGCTAAACTCAGGGGTCATTTCTCAGACCTCTTCTCATTTGACCTGTCGGCATTTGATACAGTCGATCACTCCCTCTTGTTTCCAGGACATACTCTCCTGGTTTTTGTCCAACGTCACTGGAATATCAATTTCCTATACCTCATCTTTCTGACTTTTAGCGTGCCTTAGAATTCAGTCTTTGGTCCACTTTCTTCTCAATCTATACTCACAGCATAGGTGTCCCATGGCTTTAAATAACATCTCTAATTTAATGACTGCCAGATTTATATTTTTAGTTCATTGTTCTCCCTTGAACTCCATATTCATGTATCTAACTGTCTATACTTAAATCTCAGATTCACCTTATCCACAATCTAACTCCTGATTATTCCCTTTCAAACCTAGTCTTCCCCATCTTAATAAATGGCTACTCCATCTTTTCATTTGCTCAGGCCAAAAACCTTGAAGCTATCCTCATCTCTGAGATACTGTTCTCTCAGTCCGTATCATCTCTGAAATGTTGTTTTCTCAGCCCATATCCTATAAATCCTACTAACTCCACCTTTAAAATATATCCAGAATCCTACCACTTTTAATGAGTTACTTCACTACCACCCTGGTCCAACATCATCATCTCTTGCTACACTGATTGCAGTAGCCTCCCTGCTCCTGCCTTTGGTCCCTATAAGTGTCACAGGGTCCTACATGATCTGCCGCACTGCTGCTTCTCTAATCCTATCTCCCACTGCTCTTGCCTCCGTGTCATTTTACTTACTCTGTCCTGCTTGCTGTATCTGTAGCACACTAGCCTATAGGCCTTGGGGCCTTTGCAATGTCGTTTTCCCTGCTTACAATGCTCTTCTCCCAGGTATCTGCCAGGCTTATCTCATTCCCTTTAGTTTTATAGTCAGATGTCACCTTTTTCACAAGGGTTTTTTTTAATACCCTATATAAAATAACGGACCCCTTTGCCATCTTGCATTCCCTGTTCATCATACCCTGCTTTATATTTCTGTGCAGCATGTATAACCATGTGTTACTTTTTATTATTCTATCCATCCTCTAGATAGTAAGCCGTGTAAGATTGAGACTTTTTTTTTGATCCACTGTTTTGTCCCCAATACCTAGAACAGTGTCAAGCAATAGTATGTGCTCAGCAAGTATTGTTTAGTGAATTGAATGAATACTAGACCAGGGAGCTGTCACCGTGTAAATATAGTTTGACAGATTTTCTTTTAATCAGGGAGTTTTATGAATTGTTTAGGCCGTTACATTACCCTGATCTCTGTCATGTTATTTGCTAACTTTCTTCTTCTCCCAAAGTTTATTAACATATGTTATGATAGAACTTTCCAGGAAGGGGGACATTCACGTAAATATTTAGCCATGGGAAAGTAACCACTGACTGGGTTTCTTATTTTCCTACAAACTCTAAAGATGGGTGTCTTGTCTTGTTTTGAAGGTTTTTAATCGACTTTGGTTTCCTCTTGTGAGACCTGGTGCTCTTGCAGTTCTTTCTCACATGCTGCTTAGTTTTCAGCACTCTCCAGAGGCATTCCATTTGGTAAGTTTACATAGAAAAAGCCTCATTTTTAAAATTTAGGTTAACATTGAGTCACATTTGTGAAAAAATTGTGGGTTAGTTCTAAATCTAACAATTCTCATGTTGCTTTATGATTTAGAAAATTGAGATTGTGGGATTTCCCTCCAAGGAATATATTTTCAGACTGTTTTGTTTCTCACCAAAACTGCCTCACTTGGAACAACTATTGGCAATTGAAAGTTACTGCTCTACATGGGAGATGTCACTGACGGCTATCTGCTGCACATATGAACAGTGTAGAAGGATTAAAATTGTTGAAAGCTATTGACTGCTTTGGGATTTCAGAGTCATGAAAAGCTCAGTCCTTGCCTTATAAACCCAATAGTAGGGCTTTTCATTCTCTCTCAGCCATATCCTACAAATCCTATTGACTCTACCTTTAAAATATATCAACAATCCTACCACTGTAAGCCAACTACATCACTGGCTTTGATTTGATTATCAATTATTGCAGATGAGGAATGACAAAATGTTTTTTCGGGAACCAACCTATCCATTTACCTATGTAGGGCATGACAGGAAAGTAGAATCTTAGTGTTGGTTACCTACTTTACCTAAAGTCTGATCCTCAATTTTATAGAACTAGAAACTTACTGTCAGTACAGTCACAGTGTAAAAATCTTAGGGATACTGATGCCCCATAACAAAATTTAGAGGAGACTAATGAAGAAGTGCAGAATTTCAACTGTTAATTTTTAGCTAGAAATATAACTAGCTTCAGGAAACCATATACTCACATAGGCTGCTTAATGCCTCATTTCCACTGAAAGAAAATCCACAGGCTTTGTACTATGTAAACCTCACAAACAGGTTATCACATTATACATTATCACTTAGGATGAGTGATTTCTGCAGTTAATTGCTCTAATTTTGGCAGTTTGATCATGAAGCAATAACCTTATATCTGTTTGTTATACAAACAAAACTCAAACTTGAGCCAGTATAGCAAGTGTGCTAGCAAGGTCTTCCAAGGAAAAAAACATCAATTATTTGTCCCTGTCTTTAGGCACAATTGTGTGTTAGCAATTTGAGAAAAGGCTTTGTTTTCAATGTTTCTAGGAAAGAGATTCTCTAACATAACTTTATCGTTCATTCGAATGTTTATTGATCTTCACATTGAGGACATGCCTTAATTTCTATGATTGATCACTTATGTTATACTCTAAACCTATTTCTTTGCTCACAGTTTTTTAAAAGACAGAAGATATCTCCTTACCTCGTATTGCTTTTTTTCTGGAAAAAGTAGTTGAAATAACAAATACTTGAATTTGAAATATTTGGCTTATTGAAATAAACAAGTATTAAATAATTTATTTAAAAAATAGTTAAATCTTAAATTGAAAATTGTGATCTGGCTTACTAAAGCCTAAAAGCAAAGACCTAAATACTGCTTAAATAGTGTGTAAAGCCTGACCCTCTACTCAGCTAAAAATAACTTAGACGTGTAGTAGTGGGTCATGTGGTAGTTACATCACCTATAACTCCAAATAACTCAGTGAAGGACTCAGGTTTAGGGGTTGCTAAATGAGCAATAATCTGGAATCAACATCATCATAATTCATTATATTAAATGTTTATTTTAGGGCAGACTAAGATCGATATTATAATATATGTTGTTATGGGTTAGGCAGCTTCTCATATGCTTTTTACTAAGTGGAAAAATTTATTTTAAACAAATGCTATGGCAGACAGTAATAATGGAAACAGAAAAAAATCAAAGCTTCTAATATTTTATACACTTCCTCAAAAAGTAACTTAAGGTAAATGAGTACTCTAATAATGTTTAGAAACATTTAGTTTCACTTTTTCAAAAAATCAACTTTCAAGCATTTAGAAAGTAACAGCCTGCTGGGACGTGTGTCTATATAACTGTGAAGAACTAAGTCTTATTTCCTTGTCAATGATAATATTGACGATTTAGTAGACAACCATATAACCTGATTGCAAAGATCAAATCTACACTGGAAAAGCCTTTGGTAGATTTGGAATTGTAAATTTACTCATTTATTTGGAATTGTAAATTTACTCATTTCTAAAATTCTTTCCTCTTTTCTTCCATCTCTTTCTCTCCCTTCACCTCTGAGGAAGCTAATTTTGGATTTCTGACTATTTTAGCAGGAGAGTATCTGATAGATGTGGCTTAATGGGACAATTATAATTTAGATTTGCTTAGAAATGTAGAGATGATAGTAGTAGCGGGAACTCACTAGGAACTGGTAGTTTTATGATCACATCAATACCTGTGATGGACATAAGATTGTAAGAAGGTAGTGTAAAAGCTGAAATATGTTTTAAGACCTCAAGCATAAAAGTAAAGCTAGATGGAACAGAATGAAAATAGCACTGTGTTAATTTAAGAATATGGTTGTTTTTGTGGGAAGAAAAAGGGAGTTGATTGGGATATTACTGTAATTGCTGTTATTGCTGTTTGATGATATGATCCTAATAGAGCTGTAACTTCATTTTTACCATGAGTTAGCAACCAAAAAAATGTTCTACAAATAGAACATAATAAGATGTCTTTTAATAATACCATAAGAAGTGTAAATATGTAGTATCAGGTTAGGGTTTATAATTAATTGGAAAAAGTATAGTGCCATAGAATATGCTAATGTGCTATAGTGCTAATGGAATGAGCCATTTCTGTAAAATAGAATTTGTTTTATTTTTTTAAATAGCCTCTTAGATATGTGATTGGCTCTGTATCAGTTGACTTTTTAGTCTCATTTTACAATGAAAGAATATTGTGTTGATTATCAATATTAACAGTTTTCTTCATGTTTACGAGCAATGAGCATTTTATATTTTCCTTTTATTTTTAGCCCCAATTCCTTAAAAATAATAGAAGTTTCTGATTCTCTTTATTTTTAGAACCATCTCCTCTTTTGGGGAGGTGGGAAATGGAGTTTGTGAGTAAGGATAGCCACTCTAACTTAAGACATCGTCTCTGTGCTTATCCTAAATATAATCTTGTTACCTGAGCTATAATTTTAGTTACATAGAAAAGTTATTTCTAAGACTTTCTTGAAACAGACTTTAATGTGCAAAGTATGTATAATTCTTTCAAGTGGAAAATTTAAAATTCACACTAGATGGAGCTCTTTAGCTAATTCTAGCTTTATTTTTTATAAATTTGTTCCTATCGAATGATCTGGTAAATATAATTTAATAGTCCTGACATTTTTCAACCCAAGGCATTGCAATCATGTGACTGTGAAAACTGGTCATAGATTTACCTTGATATTCTAGAAATTTTTAATTTCATAACTTTTTAAGAAAAAGTCTGATTAAACATAGAGAAAAGTATTTGCTGATAATATAACATTTGCATTCTATTTGTAGGCTAGAAAATTTGCCAATTTGTATAAATTAAGGAATATTTGTCTTTTTTTCTCTTTAGATTGTTCCTCATGTAGTTAATTTGGTTCATTCTTTCAAAAGTGATGGTCTGCCTTCCAGTACAGCCTTTTTAGTACAATTAACCGAATTGATACACTGTATGATGTATCATTATTCTGGATTTCCAGATCTCTATGAACCTATTCTGGAGGCAATAAAGGTAGGATGATAGTTAAATATTTGTGGAGTTGTAGACCATGATGTAATAGATGAATGTGGTAAAATATTCCTATAACCAGCTATCCAATTTACCATTTTATGGTAATATAGTTTTTGTTTGAAAAATACAATTAGAATCAGGTTTCATTAATGTTTAGGGAGTTACTTCTTTCTTGCTTGCTATCATTGTAAATTAATAACCATATTTTTTAATTTCTACAATGCCATCAATTATAAGGCATGTCTTTAAATTTATAACAGCTTTGGGGAAATTTTATTAAAAAAATGCTACATTAAATGAGTATAAACATCAAATTTGCATGCCAATATCAGACATGTTAAAATATGTAAAGCATATGTTAGAATCAAGGAAATGCAGTTCAATAAAAGATTTAACTTTGATTTCTTCCCATTTTTAATTCAATTTTTGCTATAGACTGTTTACAAATATCTGTATTTCATAGAATCTTTACTTGAATTATTTGTGGAGTTACCCTGTTTTTTAACTTTGTATAGACAGTGGATCCAAAATGCACTGATTCTGTTTGTGTTGAAAAATGGGTCACAGTAAGCACACCTTCTTAGTAAACTTATTGTATAATCAGAGTATAACAAAAGAACTAGACAACTTAACTCAGCCAGACTTAATCAGAAGTTATTATTAATAGAAATCTTTTTACTATATATCTAAATCAAACTGGTTTTGGTTGACCCTGCAACACAAGACTGTTAAACAATCAATATGACACTTTGACACTTCAGAAGTAAATTGTGGACAGGAGCATTCTGTTATGGATTTGATAGTAATGTCAGTGTCTTTCTACAGCCTCACTGTGCCCACAGATGAAAGCTGAGCTGTTACACTTGTGAATTGATTGCCATTCATCAGTTTTTCAGTGCTTTTCATGTTGAAAATTCTGATAACTTATATAGGCTCAGAAGAAGCAAAGGACTCACTCTTAGCCCGAGGAAAGCACTTACTCTTAGCTGTAAATAACAAAAAAAATTAGATTAAAATTACTTCAGAAAATGTTTGTTTTCTAAGACCAAATACCAAATGGTAATAGCAGTCCAAAAAGGCACTGATGATTTTACCAACTTTCCTTATGCTCCAGTGCTTTACTCATGCTCGAAATCATTTACACTTAAAATTTTATCTCATACTTCACAAAGTGGATAAGAAGAATCTGTATGTTGTAATAATTTTCTATGTGGTTAAACATGAGATTGAATTTTCTTTTTCAAAGTTAGTCATTGTGCTTAGATGCTTTCATTTTTCATCCTCTAATTACTTTGGGCTTTTATTTCTAAGTGTTAATACTGAGTAAATATAAGCAATGAATGAAAAGGGGACACTTTTATTATAAAATTTAAAAGCAAATTGTTTATTTTTTAGCTTATTCAATTGTGCACTAATTTAAGTCTTTATTCTACTGCCTTTGCATAGCACTGCAGTATACTCTCTGACCTCTAAGTTTTATTTTGTGAACATTTTGCTGGCAAATAAGGAACATAAATTGTTAAAATATGACTGGAATTCCTGATTTTTGAATGTTCTTCAATTTGATAAACTCTGCCCATTAGGAGATATTTATTTTTGCTATGCAGTGTAATTTGATTTTTTGATGACTTGCCAAGTACTATTAGTGATTTCACAACTAAGTGGGAGAAAAGAAAGTTCAAATGTCAATGTAAGACTCTTCTTTATGGTGTTAATTTAATAACAAAAATAGTTTTTACTTTTTAAACAGTTTTTCCTCTTTATGATCTATAGGATTTTCCTAAGCCCAGTGAAGAGAAGATTAAGTTGATTCTCAATCAAAGTGCCTGGACTTCTCAATCCAATTCTTTGGCATCTTGCTTGGCTAGACTTTCAGGAAAATCTGAAACTGGGAAAACTGGTTTAATTAACCTAGGAAATACGTGTTATATGAACAGTGTTATACAGGCATTGTTTATGGCCACAGAGTAAGTTTAAATTTGAGTATTTTGATTTTAACTGTAGAAATTGATGCATACTAATGAAATGTATGATGGTGGAATTGTCTATACATTATTACTTATCATTAGCACAAATGTGTTAGCATTTCTTATATTGCCTTATTCAGAAATGAAAT